CAAATAACATTTGAGGAAAAGGACCCATTTTCCTTGTGAAAATGGCACAGAGCCAACACCAGGGCTCAACCTGAACCCGGGCTGTACAGCTGCCACTGAGGCTTTGAAACCCCAATTAACAGAGTTCCCCCATCTTGGTTAGTTTAACTCTCAATCACCCTTTAACAACATGCTGGTTGGTTTGATTTTTCTTTCCAAGGGGGAAGAGGGAGTGCTGTTCCCTCAATTTCTTCAAGCCTTTTGATTTATGTATATTATTTAAAGTTGAGTTTTTACAACGCCAACAACAGATAAGTACTTTTTGCTGTTTCCAGTTTAGATTCGGTTGCCTGGAATCCTATTAATGTTTGAATAAGATACAAGTAATTTGCCATGGCTAATTAAGGCTAATCGATGATGTGCTAGGGCATGTTTTATCATGTACCTGGTCATGTGTTCAGTTGCAAACTGAGATGTATTCTGGTACTATAGCTAACTAGTCCCAATTAGCTGCAGCAAGTTATGTAACCACCAATAGGATTCTGGCCACTGTGTTTTTGTCGTGCTGTTGTTTAGTCATGTCCGACTCTTCATGACCCCATAGACCAGAGCATGCCAGGCCCTCCTGTCTTCCACAGCCTCCCGGAGTTTGGTCAAATTCATGTTGGTAGCATGAACTGTGTTTTTAGGTCTTTGTATTTCATGATTGTTTTGCTTTTTAAATTGTTGTGACACTTAGAGAAACTGTTTTAAAGGTATCTTATATATGCAAATAGACGAACTGTGTTTTTAGGTCTTTGTATTTCTTGATTGTTTTGCTTTTTAAATTGTCGTGACACTTAGAGAAACAGTTTTAAAGGTATCTTATATATGCAAATAGTAAACAAACAACAGAAAATCAATGAAATTAATTTTAACTTACCAAAGATACATCCTAAATGTAAAAATAAGGTGAAATGACAGGGAAATATCCATATGTGGATATATGAATTCACACATAGGATACACTGAGTGATAACTAAGGATTTGAGAAAGGTTTCCCAAGCAGCTGATATGAGAAGGTGTGGGATGTTTTACTCAAAAGCTTAAGACATTCTTGTATGCAGGAATGGAAATACAGTATTGGTATAGCATATAGGGAGACACAGTGGTTGAAGATCAGAAATGTCCAATGGACAGATAAGCCACTGTTTCTAACTTGGCCAGACAAGTTCATAGTAGCAAAGACCATTTCTGAATATACCTGGCTCCAGCGGAAGCTCTCGGGAGTAGCACTCAGCTGAAGATCAGGGCCCAAATATATACGATTAGTGAAACACTCTGTGATCAAGCTGTTCAAGAATGTAACTCAATGTACTCTAAAACACAGCACACTCCCTGCTTATATCCTGTTCTTACTGCACATGATCTCAGGGATGACCTGAAAGCAGATGATACAGCAAAACAAATGTACTGAATCTGTCACGTTCAGATCTGGTAAGTGCCTGGATGGGAGACCGCTGGGGAGTCCCAAGCACGCTGCCTTGACTTCCATGGTAGAAGAATGGCTGGCTGTGATGGGCACATTATTTATTATATCCATGGGGCACATTCTTTGCTCACAGTACTTGAGATAAATACGCAAAGTATTTTTTAAAAAGCAGAGCTTCTCAACAGAAACTAAATATCTTTTAGCTGATTATAACCAGAATCAAACAGGTAAACCAGGAAACAATACATTTTAAAACAAATCTTTTAAATGGGAACAACTATTTGGTTGCAAATCAGCTGGAAGTAGCCAGACAGGAAGATTGCTGGAATTCCCCTCTTGGCTAACTTAGCAAAAGGTCCTGATGAAAATAAATATAGTGTTGCTCCCACAGGGGTTCTTGAAGTTATGTCTGAATTGGACAGAGCAGCCCCTCTTCAGCACACCAAACTAGTAAGTGAGCCTGTGAAAAATATTTTCCTGACACAGTTGGTGCCTGCATTATATGACCCCTTGCTTCCCAATAACATCCATGCAAATGTTCTTTTACCTGAGATCTTCACTGCCATTTAAGGTGACATTTGAATGGCGTCCACATGGTGTCCCTCACAAGTAACAGTGAAGCTCCAGTTAGTTCATTGAAATTGACCAGCAGTAGCTTCAGGGCAGACAAAAGAATATATACGTAGCTAGTGTGACTACAGGCTGCCAGAAGAACCACTGAAAATAAAGAGGAAACCCACCTTGTCTCCACCCTCAGTGATTTCATGCTCACACAGAACTATTTCACCTTTGAAAATAAAGCCTATCTCCTGATCAACAGAACTCCAATGGGCACTTGCGTGACCCCACAATATGTGTATATATTCATGACTGACCTAGAACTCTTATACCCAAAAAACATTCTTCTATTTGGGATACATTTTTAAAAAAAATCTGGACCAACAGAAAGAAAACTGGAGAAATTTCACTGGGATTTCAGTAACTTTCATCCAAATATGAACCTCAGTCTGGACCAATCTACACAACAGGTGCATTTTCTAAACACCACTGTGAAACTACAACATGGACATCTTAGCACCACACTATATTGAAAACCTACTGATGGTTGGTAGGTTCAAGCTACTTATTGAACCTACTTGGATGCCTCCAGCTTCCATTCTGAGCATATGACAAAAACTATAGTTTACAGCCAATTTCTCAGGTACAATTTAATCTGCTCAGGCCCACAAGATAGAGCCTCTAAACTCAGGGACCTACAAAACACATATTTTAGACTACAGTACTCATCCAATATGGTTTAGGAACAAAATAACTGGGCAAGATGAATTCCCTAAAGCAAGACAGACCCAGAAGAGAAAATGACAGAACACTGCTAGTTTTCACTTTAAGCCCACAACTGATACCACTCACACATGCCATAAACGATCTCCAACTCATCCTTGACAAGAATACTTCACTCTGCCAATACCTTGGTGATGGGCCTATACTTGCTTACAGACAATTTAAGCAACTATCGACATGCAACAACCTATACAATACTGATACAGTGAGGGGAACTATACTTTGCTACAAACCCAGATGCCAGCTGTACTCTCACATTGACTTCAGCAACATGATTACAAGACCCAACAATGTCACACACAACATCAAGGACTCCTTTACTTGTTCATCTGTTAATGAGGTCTATGCCACCTTTTGCTAACAGTGTCCTTGTGCACTCTACATAGGACAAACCGGACAATCACTGCCCAAAAGAATATAATTAATATAAGCTGGGCACAATGAATGGAAATATACAGACACCTGTTTCAAATAATTTCAGTCTACCCAGACATTCTTCACAGGATTTGAAAGTTGTTTTCCTGGAGAAGAAACACTACAGAGCAAGGACCCAGAGATAGAGAGCTAGGATAAAAATATATGCATATTCTTGATTCCCATATCAATGGATTAAATATTAGTCAAGGATTCTTAAGCCATTACCAAATGTAAAATACTACAATAATTATGTCATTATCTGCTGTTATTTTCCATAGCTCAAGTTCTTTCTTGACTAACCACTGCCACTTTTACAAAACAAGCTTCAAAGTAATGGATTCTTAACTCATTACCGTATGTGTAATGGCACAATATGTTGTTTCTGCTTTTGTTATTTATAGCCTAGGGTTCCTTTATCCACTAATCATTGTTGCTGTTTACGGAACAAAGCTTCAAAGGAAAAGAACTGAATATCAAACAGGGGTCTTAAGTCATCACGAGGTGCAAAATGCCACACTGCTACACACAATTTGCAGCTGGTGTCTACTAACCAACCACTGTCTCTTTACCTTTGAGCTATGTATAAATGATTGCCATGTAGACGCTTATGTCTGAGGAAGTGGACTCAATCCACAAAAGCTCACATTAAAATATAGCAATTAGTCTTTAAGGTGCTTTTGTTTTGTTTTTGTTTTTTAATCTAATATACAGCTACAGTAGTGTATGGGACTCACTTTGGAAGATGTGGAGATAGCCCAAATAGAGGCACTGAGCATAGGTCCATCAATTACATTTTGACATTTTAGCCATTATGGTTAAAACGAATCTCTACGTTCACAGGTAGTATTTAGTGTTATTTATTATTTATATGTATATCTTGTCTTTCCTCCATTATGCCCCTCCACACCTTATCCTTACAACAACCTTGGGAGGCTGATCAGACTGACAACATAAATTGTGAGAATTCATCAAGTGAGTTTCATGAGCGAATGGGGAAAATGGGGGGAAATGCCAGGCTGCGATCCAGCAAATCGGATCCTCCTCACAATACGTTGTCTCCCAGTGTGGGGCCTCTGATTGGCAGGTTCTTTTTTCATTAAATCCACCATGCCAAAAATATTGATTCTCTGTCTAGACCTTATTTCAAGTCAAACAATCTACTATGAAAGAATTAGCAATCTCATATAATAAAAAGAAGCGAGTAACCCCCACAACATGATTTCAGACGGTTACCCATATCACCACCCCTCAGCAGAAGTTTTAAAAGTGATATTAGTATGTTTTAGAATAATTTTTTGCATTTGTGGTCCCTGATGGGCATAAAATAAACACTTTTAATAAGTAAAAATAAAAAAGGGGTATTAAGGAATGAATGTTAATAAACACACTTGAGCTCATGGCTTTGTCGATGGTGATTTGTCTTGGTTTCTGATCTCATGAGTCTATAAACAGCAGAAAGAACATCAAACAATATATATGCTCCATTTACTATAAAGGTGATGTTTTCCATGACATGGCTGGTGATTGTGCCATATATTTTAGTATACCTGTGATATATATATAAAACAAGTACTGAACCATAAGTTTACTAGGTTTAGATAATCATAGTGATCACTTTTTCAGCTGAAAACAGGAGTATTAAAACACCCGGGGTTGTTCCCAGTAGTTCAGATGCAAAGGGTGGCAATCATAACTATGACCCTCACTGCTTAAAGGTTTTTTTAAAAATAAAATCCCTAAATGGCCTGGAGCCCGCCTCCCTTCCCTACTTCCCATCCCACAGTCAAGATTTGCTAGCACACCTTCGCTATAAAAAGGCACCAGACTGACTGCTTGGAAATCCCTCAGCTTAGAATGTGGATCCTTGAGAGGCTGGATTAAGGCACGTTTCAGGTAAAGGGAAATGGTAGCCTTTTCACAGGGACGTCGGTAAAGAGACATGTGCCAAGACTTGAGAAAGATTATGGGGATTTTAAACTTTGTGTTTATTTTTAATATGTATTGTGGATAAGGGGGCGTAACAGGTGGCTGTTAGGTCAAGCAAGATGAGTAACAGACCAGGAGCATATCAGTCACGGTGGGTCAGCGTCAGTTCAAAGGGAGACTTCGGGGTCTACACAAGAATCCTGAGCTGTCTTTAGACACATTTCTGGAAAACAGGATTCTCAGCAGCCGACCAGATGAAAATACAAATCTTGCCTAAGGCAAAGCAAAGCAAGCAAGTGGCATGTGTGTACGTGGTACGCACATACACATGCCCGCATAAACAGATAGTGTGCATGAGGAATGCAAAGAGAGATAAGAGGTAAAAGGAGACACTGCACTGACAAGCTGTGGGCCCAATGCCCTGGGCAATTTGCCTGCGTCAATCCCCCGTGAAGGTTTTCTTAAGGAGCTTCTATTCATTTCTGTCGGGGATTTGTGCAGTGTCTTACGCGTTCTTTAGTATTTTAACCTGGCATTAGCATGGCACACCGGTTCGTGCTTGGTGTAAATGGCAATATTCTTCAGTTACTCATTTGGTGGGTATGGTTGATTTTGTTGCCTTTTTTGGCCTTCGTTTTTTCTGCAGGTTCCCCAAGGGGGTTACACTTGAGTGGGTTGCCACCAACTCTATGGAACCAGAAATGGCATTTTGTAAAATCCAGGGTGAAAGAAAAAATTTCTTTAAAAAGGAAAGGAAAGAAAAACCAAAACGATGTTTCAGTTTGCCTAAAGATTATATTCCTAAGAAATATAAGACATTATGGAAGCAGCTTTGAGAGCTTTGGCTATAGAAACAGTATATTTCTACCATTATTTTGTATTAAATAATACTGCTGGACAGTCTTTGTAGCAGGAACCAGATTCTTTGGCACCTTGTGACCAGCTGTTTTGTTTCTGGCACAAGCTTTTAAGGACATCTAGTGGTCATTATACAAAAGAGATTGAAGGTGATATCAAAATATGGGGCAAGGGAAACTGAGTTGGAAGCACTCTAGTTTCCATCTCCCCAAACTCATGCAGTTTAGAAGTAGTTCAAGCGCTAGATGGTGCTTGGGAGATCTGGATTCAAGACCCCTCATAAAACTCCTTGGGTGGCCTTGGGCCTGGCCTGTTTTGCAATGCTGTGGTGACAATACAGAGGGGAAGGAAAGCCTCTCGGAGCTCACAGGAGGAAAAGCAGAATATATGTACTTATTTAATTAATTAGTGAATTGGCCATTTGGATTTTTCTACTAATATTATCATATTTAAAATAAAAGGACCTGGATAAACCAACTCACCATGTGAACCAGCCTGCCCAAATGTTCCATTCAAGAACACCGTTTGCTGAGCAAAAATATAAATAAGCTCTCCCTCAAACGGCCATCTGTTTGTGGTGCAGAAATATTACAGAGAATTATCTGTGTTGATAATTTTTTTTTAAACAGGCAAAGATCAAGCAAATGGAGTGGGCCTCCTGACCAGTCATGCCATTTGTTAAAAACGAGGGCTGATGTTGCAAATACTCCAACACATTAAAAAAGAAAAGAAAATATTAATGTACCGCATGCCATGCAATTCAGTACTGCTGACTTACTTTTACATGTGAAGCTGAACCATTTGTACTAAGTTTGCTTTGGTTTGGGGACGGATAGTTCACAGAGAACCCACAAGTGACCCCTACAACTTGGCAGTCCAGGCAGCTACCTGATTTATCTAGCGCCTTCCATTTGGCTCTCATTAGAACTTCTCACCTGATGTTCTTTCATTGCTGCCGCTAAAACCACAGGGGGAAACGGGGGAACCTCCAGAACTGTGTCAGGACACAGATTTAATCCATATTCTGGAAAATTTCAACTGTAACTGAAAGCAGATGAAGTAAACGTGGCAGGGTGGGGAGATATGTAGCCGAAAGGCAACACTGCCTAATAAAACGATGCCCACAGCGTCTAGCCCATGGAAAGGTCTAGCCCACGGAAAGGTTAATGTGCTAGTGTTAAACTAGCACATTAAGTTTAATTTGATATTTGAGCCTGAATCGTCTTCAGCAAAACTGGTTACATAAAAGTCCATGGAGCAATTAAGTTGACATTTTATACACTTGTGCAAAGATGTATCTGCTACCTCCCAACAGGCAAGCTAGAGATTGAATGGGGGACACTGGGACAGCATGATTCCCCTCCCAAGCTAACTATCAAGTGGTCAAGTGCTAGTGGTGTATTATCTCCAGACTTTAAAAATCAGTTAAAATTAACAATGGCCATCCTTCTCAAATTACCCCATACAAACCGAGGAACAGAAAAAACGTGACAAGTTCAGAGTTGCTTGGATGGTTAAAGTTATAATCATAACATTTTAAATGGTTGTTGGAAATTAAAGTTCATTGTGGGTAGGAGGTTTAATTCTTCACAAATAATGTCCAAGCTTTGACAGTGCCACCAACAAGATAATTTACAGGAGTGTGAACTCTTCTCTGACACGATCAGTAGCTGCCACATTCCTTTTCCAGCCCTGGATGAATCAAGCAGTCGCGCATGTTATCTCCATGCTTTGCCAGGCATTTGTTTACATCCCGTCCGCAGCGCTGCCTTGTTGGCCTCCATGGCAGCAGTTCCCAGTTTTCAGGGCCAAACTAGGCAAGAAGGCAGATTGGGGCTTCGCATGTAATGATCAGTTTTACAGAATGCAAACTGCATCTATTGCATGAAATGTCTTTCCTGGGATCACAGCAGCTGTGAATGGGGAAGTGTAACCATTTATTTGCCTGCTGTGATCTGCCCCTCCCCCAAAAAGTCCTTCTCTGAAGGTAGCGATGTTGGGTGGGGAAGGGGTGCACATGCCTTATAAGTATTAGGATTGTTCGCATTCCTCTAAATGCAAATGCCAGCTGCTTCAGAAAGAGAAGAGGGGAACACGTTAAATCTCCCTACATCTTCTGTGAGAGTCAGTGTGGTGCAGAGGCTCAAGTGGATCACTAGGATTCAGGAATTGTTGCTGTTATGTGCAATCAAGTTGTTTCTGACTTAACCCAATTGAGTGTGTGATCTCGAAACTGGTGTGCCTCAACAACCCTGCTGTTGTAAACTCAAGAGCTTTCTTTATGGAGCCAATCCATCTCATAATTCATATTCTTCTTTTCCTGCTGCCTTCCACCTTTCCCTGCATTGTTGCCTTTTCCAGGGAATCCTGCATTTTCATGATGTGCCCCAAGTAGGCCAGCCTGTTTTATAATTTTCATCTCCATAGGTAGTTCAGGCTAGAGATGGGGGTAATTGTATATGAATACCCCCGCACAGGTGGATATAACGAGGATTATGTCCACCTGGCAGGAGGACGAGCCTCACTGCCAGGTCGAAGAGTGGCTTGCAGACCGCGAGCTTCAGAGTGATAGGCAGGGAGCGCGGAGCTCACAGCAACAGCAGAAGGTAAGTGGACGGTCTGGCCCCATGATGTCCACCTGTGTGGGGGGTATTCATATACGAATACCTCCATCTCTAGTTCAGGCTTGATTTGATGTAGGACCCACTTGTTTGTCTTTCTGGCAGTCCAGGATATCCACAAAGCTCTCCTCCAGCACCCCATTTCAAATGAGGTAATGTTTTCCCCATCAGTTTTCTGGACTGAACAGCTTTTACACCCATACATGGTGAGTGGAAATGCAAATTCGCATAATATTTCGGTTTCCAATTATACATCCTTAACACTTGTATTTTCTAGTTCCTTCATTGCTGCCCTTCAGTCTTTTTCTCATTTCTTAGCTAAAGTTTGATGGTTGAACCAAGGTATACAAAATGTATATTTTCAATTTCTCTTTGCCAGTGTTAAAGTTGTGTAGTTCTTCTATGGTCATGATTTTTGTCTTTAGGAGACCTGGGTACAAATCCTTGTTTCACCATGAAAACTCCCTAGGGGAGTTGGCAATACTATACTATTCCTTGAACATCTTGCACAAGTAGAAAACCCAGTAAGGGTTGCTGTAAACTTGATGGCTTATAATAACAAATTCTGTGATCCCAATTGTTACTCACTCACCTCCACAGATGCAATATGATTTTTTATTTAAAAAACCCTTCCATATTAAATGGAAATACTTTAATATTACATGTAATTTGGCCACCATACTAGTATATCTTTAGAAAGTGCACAGAACATAGGCCTCTTAGTTGTCCTTTGGTATATGAATCAAGAAGGTAGGATGGGGAGAATTAATTCCCCCTTCCCTCGTTACAGCTCAGATCCAATGTGTCCATGTGTCTACTTTTTACCCTCTAGAGATGTAATAAGAGCTCTGCTGCTGTTTCATGTATTTCCAACATTCATAATCTCTGCCCTTCAATTAATTGTGCTCACATTAATCAAATTCAGAAACAGACATAGGAAGCAGCTGTGTTTCCTATGGTATAATCACATGTCAAGTAGAAAACCCAGTAAGGGTTGCTGTAAACTTGATGGCTTATAATAACAAATTCTGTGATCCCAATTGTTACTCACTCACCTCCACAGATGCAATATGATTTTTTATTTAAAAAACCCTTCCATATTAAATGGAAATACTTTAATATTACATGTAATTTGGCCACCATACTAGTATATCTTTAGAAAGTGCACAGAACATAGGCCTCTTAGTTGTCCTTTGGTATATGAATCAAGAAGGTAGGATGGGGAGAATTAATTCCCCCTTCCCTCGTTACAGCTCAGATCCAATGTGTCCATGTGTCTACTTTTTACCCTCTAGAGATGTAATAAGAGCTCTGCTGCTGTTTCATGTATTTCCAACATTCATAATCTCTGCCCTTCAATTAATTGTGCTCACATTAATCAAATTCAGAAACAGACATAGGAAGCAGCTGTGTTTCCTATGGTATAATCACATGTCTATAAAGTGGTTCAAAACATACGTACAGGAAGGTGCTTTATATTTCTGTACACATCAACCAGCAGAAAATGCCTAACGTATAAAACTTAAGTAACAAATCTACAAGTTTAAAAAAAATAAAACCTTCCATATTGAATGGAAATACTAGTGTATCTTTAGAAAGTGCACAGAACATAGGCCTCTTAGTTGTCCTTTGGTATATGAATCAGGTAGGATGGGGAGAATTAATTCCCCCTTCCCTCGTTACAGCTCAGATCCAAAATGTGTCCATGTGTCTACTTTTTACCCTCTAGAGATGTAATAAGAGCTCTGCTGCTGTTTCATGTATTTCCAACATTCATAATCTCTGCCCTTCAATTAATTGTGCTCACATTAATCAAATTCAGAAACAGACATAGGAAGCAGCTGTGTTTCCTATGGTATAATCACATGTCTATAAAGTGGTTCAAAACATACGTACAGGAAGGTGCTTTATATTTCTGTACACATCAACCAGCAGAAAATGCCTAACGTATAAAACTTAAGTAACAAATCTACAAGTACACGGGTGATATGACAGACAAGAGAGGACTTGAAGAATACAGGAGATAAAGCTTTTTTTAAAAAAACCAAAGGAACCACCAGCCAACATCATTTCTGTAAACACCTTTCTGTGTTAGAAGAGCATATCCTTGGACTTAGGATCTGTCAAAGCAACTAAGTACTCTTTCGTAAAACTCCCACATCATCTTTAAGATAAAATGAATCTATACAAAAAAAAAATCTGTAAATATTCTCATTCATCTGGGTGAGGTTATCTGGAAGATGAGTCATGGCAACTGGATTTCTTTCTTATTAGGTTGAAACGTTTCGCTACTCATCCAAGTAGCTTCTTCAGTCTCTATAAATAGCTATAAATAAAATGGTACTACAGAGGAAGAAGAAAATACTGATGGCTTAAATAAAAATGTGTCTAAAGATTTTCCATGGTTGAAAGATTTTAGTACTGTTTTCTGGTCTGGCTTGCAATATTTATGTTCTAAAGGTAGTTCTGTGTCTTGTTGGTACCCAGCATCTATATTTCTTACAAGTCTAAATAAAGAGAGGTGCCAGGTGAAGGATACAACGTATAAGCTGACTTAATAGCAACCTTATAGAGTTTTCAAGGCAACATATTTAAGGAGTCCGTTCATTAGTTTCACCATCCTCATGAGTTGCCATGGCTGAGCCAGGACTCAAAACCAGGTCTCCTAGTTTGTCACCATACATATATCCATTATACCACACTGGTGTATTCCATAAATAATCATAAGGTATCCTTAAAATACACTGAATGCTTCATTATTTGTTTCTTCTTTTCGCAGTATTTCTGTTATGATTTCTGCACAGTACCAGTTGCTCCCCGAGTCAGACCAAAGAATAATGGAAGAGGAAGAAGTACTAGAAGAGAACTGCAAACTTGAGGAGAGCAATAAATACTCTTTAGCATCGGACTCAGGTTAGAACAATCACACACCCACAACATACACAGAAATTGATCCTTAAACTAATTGGGTCCCTCTCTCCTGTCCTCCTGGTGACAGGTAAATATTTTTCTTTCTAAACAGATTTTTAATAGCTGCGTTGGGCATCAAAGCTAGATTCTCCTTGGTTATTGTACTTAAAGTGTATTTTAAGGCAATTTCTATGTTTTTAGATAACTAATTTTTATACTGTTATGCGTTTTTTTAATTGAATTATTGAGCTCTTAATTTTTCTTGTATTTGAATTATTGTGAGCCTGAGTCTTTATGTGAGATGGCATGAAAAATGATATACATTTATAAGTTTCCCTAACCTCATCACCTCCTAACAATTAATAAAAAAACAGGATTGTAATTGCATTTATCCCACTGTAAAATAACTGTGTCCTTTCACTTTTAGAATTATATTTGTACTTGATATTTTTATGAAAGTTTGCAAATGTATTATATTATCCACAGCCCTGGCTAGTGCATGCTTACTAAGATATATGTGTGGCCAGATTCCACTGAAAATCTTTGATTAATATTTGTGGATGTAAGTTTTACTCAAATAAATTAAAGTAATTTAACTTCCAAGTTATATTAATTTATGTAAGAGAACTGGGCTGCAGTCTTATAGTATACTCACTTACCATTCAAATGAATGGGCATCTTTTTGAATAAACTTTAATATTATTTCACTGTTCAGCACTTCCACTCCAAGCCTTTCATAGTCTCATAAACCCACAGGAAGAAATTGTGGATCTATGCATCAAAGCAAATTATACAAGGGATTTTACCAAAAGCTTGCTTTTTTTGAAGGCAGAAAAGCTAATTGTTCCTAATTCTCAGTCTATGCTATTAGAAGTACTCTTCCATTAACAAATGTTTGTTAACCGTCTTTTCTCTTACAGGGCCATGTGTGTTCAAAATCTTGCCAAAATGGGTTCCGAAAGCCTCTTACTATTTTGACAAGGAACATTATTGCTATGCTAGCCATCAGATCATCATTCAAGAGTCCATTGAAAGCCTCGGAGCCATAGTATGGCCTGGTGTAAGTTTTACACAGAGGAAATAACACGCACCAAGCCTGCCCTGTAGCAGGATTTCACAATCATCACTGCCTTCTTTTCCCTGCTGATACCACTGGGTCAACAATATATTTACAACTACAAAATTCTAATTAATATTATAACGAGTACCCAATTCACTTCCCACAGATCTTATATGTTAACTGCCTTTTTAATTAACTGAGATAGTCTATGTATTCATTCTACATCTGTTCTCCTAACCTCGTCCTCTTCCCCTCAAAAGAGGACATTTTGTTTACATGCAGTGGCAGCCTTTATCAGGTCTTAGTGAGCAGGAATATCAGCTAGAAATTTTTTTTAGCCACAGCTGTGCCATAGTTTATTAACAGCTACAGTCTGGCAGCCTCTGGAGGGCCTCACCTTTGCACTGTAAGATCCTTTGGTCTTTTAAAATGCTGAAATGTCAACCTCTATTTTGACATTTCTAGCCTTGTGCAAGCTGTTCGCTTCTGATAGCACAGAAACTAATAAAGAAACTAGCAATTGCTGGCTGTAAAAACCAGCTGCCCTTTATACATCGTTTTGTCCTCATGGAGAATTCCATCTGTATTTTCTGCTCTATATACCAGAAAATAATGTGGACCATGCCACTATTAGAGCCAAAAATGAGTTATTTCCGTTTACTAATGTTCCACACATCCTTCTGCCATCTGACCTTTCAGAATAATAATGGATTTGAGAGGGATCTTTTGGGTGTGGGGGGGGAGTACTCTTTTTTTTAAGTGTGCATCCTGGGTGTCAGATGCTATGCAAGGACTTATTCAAGCTGTCTGTCCAGTGAGTCAGTTACTCCAGAACGGCATGTTTTCACCCAAAGTTTATCCTAAACTCAAATGCAGAGCATTCGAGAGAAAAATATAAAACCATCTGTCAGATAACATCCATTATTCTGTGATTTTTTCTTAGCACATAATGGCTGAAAATCCAGTAGTAAGCTACAACTAGAGTAGGGCCATTGAATCAGTGGGAATCTGATCAATCAGCTCCTCTGTAAATTCTATTGATTTGAATGGGCCTATTCTAGGTGTGACACTGTTAATTTCAGCCACTGTCTGACTTCCTGAGAAAGATAGGCAAGTCATGCCATCTCCACAGCTATGGATGTCCTTTTGCCCTACTGTTCCATCTAAGATACATGGCTCTAATGTGAGCAACTGAAATTAGAAATGGGATTTTTGAGAAAAATGAACTTCCATAATTCTGAAGGATCCCACAGGCCAAATTATGGCACAGGGAGCAGCAAAGTGCAGGAAGGAGAGCAGCCCTCTTATCTTCATACAATTCCTGCATTGCTTTCTTGTGTCCTCTGCAGAGTACCTGGTGAATCTTTGTGAGTTGAGAGGATTCCCTGCCACAAGGTGGGGATCATTCCCCTATTCACCTTTGTGAGTTGCAGAAAATCTTATTACAGCCAACAGAAATCATTATAAGGCACCATTTTATAACTGCAGTAATTTTAGAAGGTGTTTAGTTAGGAATAAAACATATTTCCGATGAAAATGTTTTTAAAAGAATGTCAGTGAAATACAAGTTAATTAGTGCAACAACCGTAATACTAATTTCTATATTTTTAACCAGTTTACCATCATTTTGGTAAATGTTATTTTTCCAATTTAAACTTGAGTTGTTGCGCCTGATTGAAAACAAGTTTAAAAATCTTTTAAAAATCATATTGTTAGGCAATTACACTTAAACCAGAGGGTACTTAATAATTGTACGTATAACAAAAGTGTAATATCCCTGATTACATGGCAATTTATAACTCCTACTTGGCTTTTGTAAATAGGAGTAACTAAACACAAATGTGGCTTGCTTATCCTTAGGTACAAACAGAGAGTTTTACTTTCCCATCTCTTCAGACAATCTATAAAGTTATAAACCAAAAAGAAAACATAGCATATTTTAACTTATCTGGAAAGAAAAACCATGGTTCCCAGTTTGCACTTAATAATAAAGAAACCATGAACAGGCAGGTTTGTTTCCTTGCTCTGGCTTGGACAAGTCAAGGAGAAGCATATATGAAGGGGCAGCCAAACAGAAGGAATTAGACAGTGTGCACAAAAGTTCCATGGAAACCTAGCTATCATCACATCCAAATTAAGCCAGTCAGTCTGATCTGTTTAGACATATGCTAAAGTGACATGGTCAAAACAAGTTTCCTGGCCTCTCCTTTTCAACAGCTGGATAAGATGAAACATGGTAATTCTAACCTTTCTGTAGTCTAGGACAGCTTCAATCAAGGCTTTTTCAGTCCCTAGTGCACTGCTACTACTTATGAGCCAAAGTGATCAATCCATCTTAAGCAAGCCTGCCCTTTCCATTAATGATTTTTTCTTGGGCTGAACTTCCATTCAGCCAAAATACAAAGCCAAAGGGGTTATATCTAGCAATTTTACCTGTTAAAATCAATGACACACACATTGAAAACACACTGCTACTGCCACGTATAATTGAAAATTAGGAACTTTATTATTATTATTTTTAGGCTCTTGCTCTGTGTCAGTACCTGGAATCAAATCAACAAGAAATCAACATCAAAGACAAGAAAGTACTTGAACTTGGAGCGGGAACTGGTTTGGTGTCCATTGTGGCAAGTATATTAGGTTGGTTAACTCTTAAATTTCTCTTTTAGGATATGTGCCTTCTGTGCCCCACCTCTTTCGCTCTCACAGACTGGATGTATGTAAACACTGTGTGCTTAAATTTCAGTACTGTACAAATGTTCTGCCCCATATATAGTCATACAGAATTTCAAAATGTGGTAACTTTTATCAGTGCTGTATACTCCCAGCTCTGTGAAGAAATCTGCCCCAAAAGCAAATAGCCCATTAACCATTAACATTTTGCTTACCTTAAATTTGAGAAGATGAAATTTCAAATTTAGAGTAGCTGATAAAACGGCTAAGAAATGCTGATTTATAATTGACTCAAGCTGATAGCTCCACATGCTTCAGAATAGAGGTATACAGATCTGGTGCAGTAGTCTAAAAAGCACTGACTTCTACAACACTATTTCAAATCCTACAGCTGACTTTAAGTTCAGTTTTCCCCATAAAAAATGAAAATGTTTTACTCAACCTAAGCCAGGGGGCCAACATTTCAACCCAAGCATTTTTAAGGGTAATCTGAAGGTGCAAAGCATTTTTAAATTTCTGATCAAGGAAGAAAACTGTTACAAGTAAACAGGGGTTTGTTCTCTTTCAGGCGCTTTTGTTACTGCCACTGACCTCCCCGAGATACTTGAGAATATGGAGTTCAATATCTCAAGAAACACACGCAACCTGAATGTTCACAAGCCTGAAGTGAGAAAGCTGGTTTGGGGAGAGAATCTCAGTGAAGATTTTCCTAAAGCAACTCATCGTTATGATTTCATTGTGGCAACAGATGTCGTGTATAACCACACTGCTCTGGAGCCTTTGCTAAGGACAATAAGCTACTTTTGTCAGCCTGGAACCATCTTGCTATGGGCAAACAAATTTAGATTCAGCACCGATTATGAATTTTTGGACGGTCTCAGCAAAATGCTCAATATCACACAATTAGCAGAATTTCCAGAGTCAAATGTCAAGATGTTCAAAGGTACAATAAGAGAAAATTAAAAACTTGGGGAGTGCCAGCAGCCTGATTCAATGGTAGTGTAAGTGTTGATGAGCAAATAATTTTTAGACATTAATGTTCTATATTTCAATAAGGTCTGGCACATTTAAGAAGAGGACATCTTCGATATTCACCCTACTGACCATGTGGAAGGAGTGAAATAACATTCACACTTGTAATTATTCCCCATTTTCCCAAAGGCAGTATGACAGTTGATCAAGGGGTAGATTCTAGCACCAAATGCTGGAAGCCTTGCTCTTGTAACCTTTTTGCCTTATTTGATTAATAAGGCATGTACCATCTAATGGCATCCTTCTATAAGAAACTACATCTTCTCCACCTTGGTAACACTCATAAAATTCCTTAGATTGTGAATTATAGATTGGGCTAGACACTTTCAGCTCAGCTCCATTTATACTGGTGCAGCCACACCTTATTGTTAGTAAAGGACAGTGAGGGCTGTTTTCATTCAACACCAACTCCCAAGTGAGTTCAGAAGTCAAGCCCTTGAATGTGAATGGCTTCTAACATGACTCAGAAGATGCCGAGAAAGCCACAAAGTATCTGATTTAACTGAGAGGCATAAATGTGTTCCAAGTCCTTTTACATACAAGTCTTCCAGATTGTGGGAAATTAATACGGGGGGGGGGAATCTTGTGTGTTTGTGTTTTTTTTGAATAAAATAATCAGCATATAACTACACTTCGTAAGTTAAAAAAACAGTATTTGTGTGCACATATAAAACCGTAATGTTCAAGATCTGTCACTACCTGTATAACAGATACGTACTTGCGAAAGATTTTTTTCTAAAGCCTTCATGTTTTAACCCAGTAATAAATGATTGTTAAGTTAACTACTCAATAACTGGCCTATGAACCATATATTCTACCAATACTATTTGCTGCAGCACTAAAATATTTAACTTTTCACTTGGCCTCCATGAAGTCATATGTTATTAGTGCCTCTTCTCCAAAAATTAACAATTCCTAATGCCTGCTTTATGCACTCTTGAAAAATTAGCACAGATCTCAGCTTCATTAATTGTTTATTATGTTAACAAAATTAAACCGCAAGTGCTCAAATGTTTTGATATTGAAATTTGCACATTTATTCTGCAGTTTTACATTTTCCAAACATTATTAACATGTATGTATAACTTTTACAATACCTGATTAAGTGTTAAGTGTCTGACACTTTATACATGTATCAGTTTATCCTGATACTCTTGTATCACATGGATATTGGTGAAAATATCTCCAAGAAGAAGATATTCAAAGCACCTTTGCACCAGCAATTCAGAATACGCTTGCAGTGAGAGTGAAGGTTCTATTTAAAAAAAAAATTCAAAATGTAAACTGTTGCAAGTGATACTGGTAATTAAGTTCCATCACTGTTAAATCTAATAAATAAGGTTGTAGCTACTCGTGATGTAGCTTCATTTTTAAGGCCTTCATACAGTTGAGAACTTATGTTTAAACACATTAAAACCCTGCTTGTTGTAAAAAAAACAGCTTGTACAGGCTTGTGGTTAAAATTACAAACAGTTAAGAACCACATGCACATGCAAGAAGCTTCCCACCTCCATTTTCTTATCCTGGTTGATGGCCATCCCAAAGCACCCATTGCCAGCAATGCGCTGTATGCCAACGTTTGCTCGTTATGTTCTCATTTCCGGGTAATGCTGGGCTACCCAAGAAAATTAAATGCCGAAGTATAAGACTCCCTGATATCAGGAGCCAAGCTAGCACACATGTATTGCAACCCCTCCTCCACTGATTATTAATACATAAAATTTAAGCATTCAATAATGGATTGAAAACATGCATTCCAGTAAAACCACATTTTTATATCCAGTCAATATAACAACAGATCAAATACACAGTGGCAGGTATTTCAAAAAACACAATAATCAGGTGGATACATAACAGGAAGCCAGTTTTCGGTGAAAGATGCACAGTGAGTCCAGCCAAGGAACTTCATTAGCTAAAAAAAGTGAATGGGAAAAAATTAAACATTTTAAAACTTTTACCACTTGTGCCATTAATCAAAGTCTCCCTAAAAAGTGATGTTTAATGTTATAGCTGAAGGAAAAAAATAACACATCCATGTATGTCACTATAGATTCTGCAGGTCTAACATATTAAGGCAATATGGCTTTATAATTCCTAAGATGCCAGTGAAACTTACATCAGGACTGTTAACTGAAAGTGAAATGGCAACTACTTACCTGTATAGAATTCTTCAAGTTTTCTTTGGTAGGTTTCTCCTCTGCAAGTTTTGTTGCAAATTTGAGGCCTCTACCATACATTTTATTTACTAGTGCATGCTTATAGGCAAACGGTAAAACCTACAAGGGGCATAAAAATTGTGGTATTTGTAAGCTGAACATCCATCTCAGTTCTGCAAAATTCTCCTAGCCAAACTCTTTCTTGAACTTGACAGGAGCAGTGCAAGAACTAAAAGTGCAAAATATTTTGACACTGACATTGTTAGGAGTGCAGAGAAGTTACTTTAAGGCTTACTAATATCAATAATATTAAAAGAAATGGTAGCAACTACCAGCTCCTTCCATGCAATGTGATCCTTAATTTTTATAGAACTTTTAAAACCCTTCTGCACAAATATTTACACAAATAATTAAAAACACACAAATTAAAATTTTAAAATTGTGATATAAAATATTTTAAAGCACCATACAAGAAGTAAAAAACAGATTTTTAAAACCCACTAAACAGCTCCATCTCAACTGCCTGTTGATGTTCCCAAAAGCCTCTCTAAAAAAAGAGCATGCTCTCCCTGGAAGCCACATGGAGCATTCAGCACGCCATTTTGCTTGGAATGGAATACTAAACTGGTCAGTCCATGGTATGGTAAGTCTAGTGTTCATGCAAATATTTTGGATTTTAAAACTCGATTGCTGATACTGTGTATTGAACTGTATGTTTTCACATAAATCTATATCAGAAATATGAATTAAAAAAAACAGAACTTTGGAGATTGCAAAGCAATATAAAATGCATTTCAACATAGGAAATATAATGGATTGTTTCATTATACATCAATTCACTTTTGTCACATGCCTATTCCCCTAATCTATTGCTGAATTGGCATAACTACACCCATGCTCCCCCAAACTCATTCTCAACGCCAATAAGCAATGTTCCAAAGAGTGGGCTGGGAAAGTAAGATTAGTAAGTAAACAGGTTCAGGTACTGCCAACAAATTAATAAACTGACTACAGGAAGTGGACACAATGGTAGACATTCAGAATTTAAAAAGTGAAGAGGGCTTTAGTAATTCATAAGTAACAGGTACAGGGAATATCACAATATTTCATCAAAAATAATGGCAAGACGTCTTAACGTATTATGGAAGATTTCATAAATATTTTCAGTGCCTACTCTACTGCCAAATGTATTTACCTATGCTAAAATCAGGTAACATTTTCACTGAATGAACAACAAATTCCTCCATCCAGTTTTCAGGCATTGCTTTTGCTTCCCCATACCCAAATACCTTGGTATCAGTCACGTCCGTCCATTTTGTTGTCTCCCAGAATGTTTCAGTCAGTGCTTCGAAGGCACTATCCTGACCTTCGTCCTTACTTTCTGTCTCACCAGATACAGCCCCTTCTTGGGCCTGCAACTGCAGGAGCTGGTCTGCCAAGGCACTTCCTTTCCGACAGAGAGCATCGACTAATGTCGATTTCTGCTTGTCCATTTCACTGAGTGGGAAACAAGCAATACGATCACTCCATTTACAGAAAAGCACGGCCATTTTTATAAAGACTCTCCTGCATTTCACAAAATGAACACTAAGATTAAGATAATAAAGTTAAAACAAATGCGCTTGCAAAGGTTTTATAGCACAATGAGCTTTCTCTCTTACATCCAGTTACAGCCTTCCCCAAACACTTATACTTCCTAAATAGATTTTCATGCTTCCCAATACTCTGGAATAGACTTTAGGGGATGCCAGGAAAGGGTTTTCTTCTGGTTCTGCTGATGGAAGCAGTTTCCTCATCAGAACTTCTGCCAGTACAATGAAACTTTTTCCCCCTTCCCACATCTCAGTAGTCTGCTGAGCTGCCCAAAAACCTATTCCAGAGGTTCTTAATCATTAGAGCTCATTCTGAGGGCATAGAGAATGAGAAAGCCCTCTACTGGTTTTGCTGACCACAAGATCCTAGAACACAAATCTATCTGGGGCCACATAACAATTGAGAAGAAATGTACGGCTTCCAAGTACCACTACCACAGGATTAGTCGCAATGCTGGCAACAGTCACCTAGCTTTTCTGGGGACTTATCCCCATGCAGATGACTCCAAGAGAGCACAAGCCAGCAAGAACCAGCAGTGAGGACAAAGACTAGAGCTCAGCTGTTCCTGTTGCAACCCCTATACATGCAAGATACTGAATTCTATCAGCTCATAAAAGATAGAGGTATGGAGTAAGAACAGGTTTTCCAGCTCACATTTTGAAATGGAAAAAGATTAATAACTGTGGTCTGTAACATGTAGCTCTGCACCCACCCTACATACAACAGCTGATCCTTTATTTCTGCATTGTAAAATCTTATTCCCACTGGAAGACTTGTGTCTTTAATCTCACCACCCAGTACCGTATATTTCCATTTATAAGACGACCCACTGTATAAGATGACCTCCCTTTTCTAACCCCAAATTAGAAAATTTGATTCCTGCTTTTCCCTTCCTTTTGCTAAGCCACGGATCTTAGCAAAAGGAAGGGAAAAGCAGGGATCAAAGGGCTCTCTTTGACTGCCACTTTTCCTTGCCTTTTGCAAAGCTATGGGGCTTAGCAATAAGGAAGGGAGGTCTCCCTTTGGGTAAAGGCTGCATGATCGCAGCCCTCTGATCCTGAAGCCCTTTCATGGCTGCTTCAGGATCAAAGGGCTGCGACTGTGCAGCCCCTTCATGGCTGCTTTACCTGAAAGCAGCCTTCCCTTCCTTTTTTGCTAAGTCCCGTAGCTTCACAAAAGGCAGGGAAAGTGGCTGCCTTCCATGTATAAAATGACCCTCAATTTTTTGTCTAATTATTTAAGGAAAAAGTGTCATTTTATACACGGAAAAATACAGTAATTAGTCTGATGTTTTAGTATTTTCTGCCAAGTATTTCCAGCTTCTTGCAGAACTTAAGACCTGCAAACTGTTTTACTATTTTCTGCCAAATAATTCAAGCTTTTTGCAGAACTTGACCTGCAAACTATGTTTACATGATTGCTGACGTGAAGAATGGTTTTGGTGCCACAGAGAAGGAGACAAACTTGTCACTCTTTCATAAAAATCAAATTTACATGATTTGTGGATAAGAAACAGTGATCATCTGAAGAATTAATTCTCATTTAGAAATATTATTTCAACTGGCTGCAAATGTGTGGGAATGTGCAAAGCTTCTATGTGCTCTTATATCTGAAGAAGACCACTATGTATTAATCCAAAAGTAGTGCAAATGTAAAGTTTTTATAAAAGAGAACATGGCTGCTATAAATTTAAAAATCATATGCTACTATTTTCAGACTTTCATAAACTTTTACTAAAGATTCCAGCCTTACATATATAAACACAATAGAAGCTCTGAATCGATGCATTAATTGTCACAGGCCAAATCCAGAGCTGAATGTTTTTAAGCTTACTACAATGAATGTACTTAATACCACTCACAAGTCAACACACAGCTTAGTGTGTTGCCCTGTCATTAATATAAAAGTTACTTGGGTTTTTTAATTACAGAGAACAACTTTAGGATGAGATGTAGAAGTAAGATGCAAGAAAAAAGTATTTACTGGTTAGGTACTTTTTAATAGTAGCAGCGTCAGGCCTAGGATCAGTCTTCATGCCAAGATAAATGGCAAGGGCTGTTTGATCGATATGCGAGATAACTGTATTGGCAGCCTCAACAACTTCGTTCAGTCTTTTCATTCGTTCCTGCTTGAAATAAACACAGCACAACAGCATCTTAATAGACACACATGAAGGGATGTTAAAGTAACTAACTGATAGAGACATTCATTTGATAGCTTTGCTAACCTACTGTTTGTGCAGCACAAAGATGTCCCAAAGCACAAATCATGGTGAGGAAATAAAACATCAGAGCCAACCCTGCTACTAAACAAGGGTCAGATGGCTCTGGCAGCTTGTTTTAGGTGTCATGAAAAGGCAAAAAAAAATTGACACCTCCTCCTTAACTTCTATTGATTCAATAGATCTACTCTAGTTATGATTTACTAATTTCAGCCAGTATGTCTGAATTTCACCATGTTAAAGTGGCAATAAAGTCATTACACAGCAGACAAAGGATGAAATCCAAGAGAGGCAAAATAGATTTTAAGGAGGAAAATAAGAATGTGTCCACAAATCATCAACCCCACCAAATATTTATCTCTACAAGTAAGTACATTTTACTATGTTATCTTACATTCTATACAAAACACAGTGCTTTCTAGTTTATAGTTCTGGACTCTTCAAGCACTATACTCAATGGAAAAATGAGTAGACTAAAATCTTTTTTAAAAAATATGTCATACCTTTTCAGAATCCAACTGATGAAGTCTCGCAACATACAAGGGGAGATGATTAGGAAATGCTTCTTTCAGTTCATTGTAGATGTCATTAGTATCAAGCCTAATGAAAAAGAGTATCAGTTAATGAGTAAAGGGATACTAATGGCACTCACATATCATGTATCAATTCTCTGAAAGAGACAATTGAGCATTAGAAGAAATACAGAAGCATACTTAGTCATCCATTGTATTTTCAGGTCTCTTAAAGCCTCAATAAATTCTTCTTTTGCATCTTTTTCTTTCTCTGGATCCTTCTCTTTTTCCTTGCTGCCATTCTTATTTTTTGTTGGTGATGGAATTAGATGATAGTGAACTGAAATTACATCCTGGTGGAGAAAAAAAAAGGATAGTAGCTTGGTCAAAGGCACCAACCCAAAATATGCGACTGTACCAAAAGGAAGGAATGTTTAATACAACACTAAGGAAATGTGCATTTCTCCAAATCTAATTCAATAGCCTCTCCCATTACCTCTGACTAGGCTTGTCAGCATTCATGGGAATTGTCATCCAAGATCAACTAGAGACCACATTATCCCCACCGCTGAAGTAAAGGCTTGCAGTATCTTTTGAAGTCTCAGAAGAAAATGTGAGTTTATTATAGAATAATAGTTCAGATAGTCAGATATAGGAATTTTTTTTTAAAGCGTGCTGCTTATATACCGCCCCACAGCGCTTCAAGCACTCTCTGGGCAGTTTACAAGTTAATTATGCAGGCTACACATTGCCCCCCCCCCAGCATGCTGGGCCCTCATTTTACCAACCTCGGGGGGATAGAAGGCCGAGCCAACCTTGAGCCGGCTACCTAGGATTAAACCCCAGGTTGTGAGCACATTTTTGGCTGCAGTACAGCGGTTTAACCACTGCACCACAAGGCTCTCAACAAGCTTACTTATAGAGTTTATATTTCAATTCCTGTACACCAGTTTGAGACCCATTTTGCCTTATTTGACATCTGGGTCTGAAACACCTTTCTACATAACTTTTTTCTTCACAGGAAAAGGCAACATACACAATTACCCCAATGTGAAACAAATTCAGCAAAACTGTATTAACAATGAAATTTGTTCAGATAAAGAACCTGATAAAAACCAGCAATGTAAAAGATGTTTTTATAGTTTATATGCATTAACCACCATATGTTGCCATAAGAGACGCTATTATTTTTTACTAATTGATAAAAGTTGGACTGCATCACCTACTGCCCTAATAAAAGGATGGATTCTTTAAGACAGCAATCACGGAACTGTCAACCCATTTTTTTAATTGAACATTTCATTACAGTAGAACTATCACCAACTGGACCCCAATGGGACCCATAAAACTTTAAACATTGAAGCCACAGTTCAGGTTAGATTTTTTTCTTTGTCTAAAAAAGACAAATAACACCTCCACTGTTATTTGAAGGACAAACATATGAGCAAAGTATAAGTAGTCCAAACCCAGAAACTGTTTGTATAGCTGTAATTTATAAATATTTATTTAATTACTTCTTTGCTAACATTTCTATAGTGTTCTTCCGCCTTTGAGCTCAAACTGCCATAATAGGTTCACTCCTCACTTTACATTCACAAGAAACCTGAGATGTAAGTCAGATTGAAAGAGACAGGGTCAAGATCATCTGGTCAGTTGGTTTCACAGCTTACTACAGACTTGAACCTGGCCCTCCCTATTCCAATTCAACACTGACATGACATTTCCTTTTTTTAAAGTTATAGTAAATTGGAGCCAATCCCATCTGTTTTTTAAAAAAATCAAAATTTAGAGAGCATTTCATTCCTATATACACCTAGCAACAATATACAAGATGTTAATGCATCTTTGTGTTTCCCCAAAACTTCTAATTTCTAGTGGATTTCTTTCCAAGACCACTGAAAGGATCACCAATTGCATTTATTACCTATTTAGCCCATATACAATCCTATACACAAAAAAACACACACAGACCTCAAAATGTGACCATATACTGATTGCTAGTCTGATGTGTGAACTACCTGAGACCAAAGTTAATTACTAAGCCTTCCCTCACCAACATACAGTAATACGGTACTGCAAATCAATACCACATGCAAAACAGACCCTAGGAAGAGATACTGACCCCCCCCCCAATCTTAAATATACAGGCATGAGCCCCATAAGACCTGAAACAGAAGCATCACTTAAAGAGAACATCTATCAGCAGGGCTTGAACATTTTTAGAATGTCTCACCAGTCAGTCAAAAATTTCACCAGTCAGCATGACCAGACTATAGCCTTGCAATTTATGTTGACAAATTTAAACTAGGCACTTGTTCACTTTGATTTCTACATAACAATGCATACAAACCCAAAATAAATATACCCTCAGAGTTGGGTTGCTTTATTACCTGTGTGCCTACGGAGGCATGAAGCTTGTATTTTGAATGTCTTTCTTTTGAATGACTCCAGCAAAAATAAAACTGAAAGCAAAAGCGCCCGGTCTCTTAAGGAGCCAAGGTTCCCTCCCACCCCAGGATGTGTCCTCATTGGGTTGAAATTGGGAGCAGGGAATCTCCATATTCTCCAGCATGGGACTACTCTACATTCTTCTGCATAGCTATATATCTATGTGCCGCTCGAACTCTCTGCTCGCGAGAAGAGGGCTGCTTTCCTTTTGCAATGGGAAGGTGGAGGGGAGGACGGCAGGATCATTGAGAGAGACCGGCGGAGGGTAAGAAGGCAGGGAAGGAGGGAGCTGTGGCTCATCAAGCAGTGTTTTTTCACTCATCACAGATGAGTGGGCGAGTGCATTTTTCAAGCCCTGTCTATCAGTTAAAACAACAGTATTTGACAAGAAACACAAAGGCATGTTGTGTATACAAATGCATGGTGTCACGAAAAGTCGGACACAACTTAACGACTAAACAACAACAACATATACAATTACAGCAATTCCTCATATTCAGCCTCAAGCAGTTCCTAACATTATTTTACTCTCCAGCTCCCAGTCCAAGGAACTCATTTCAGAACCACTGAATGTTAAACCAAATGTAGGTGACACACAGGTAATCATTTTACTTCAACTATGACCCAAGTGTTGATAATTTTTAAGGCAGAACCAGAGTGCATCTAGGTTGTGTAGAATTACCTGAAAGCAAAGGGAGATTTACCAGACATTTATCAACATAAGGGAGTGGCTCAAAACTCACCTCTAGCCATTTTCCTTCTAGTAGACATATTTTCTGATTGAAATGCTTCAATGGAGAAACAGAGCCACAGAGAAGAATAGGGAGGGGAATGGTTCAGCTGTCTATCCTACTCATGCTATGCCTCAACATTTCCCTGTCCTGTTGGCATTTAGTGGGAAGTGAATTTGGGAATGCAGGTCTGCCACCTTCATGTCTGGGTTAAGCCCTCAGACTCCAGCTGAAACACTCTGCAAAGATCACACTACCACTACTTGATACAGAAGGAAAACTGACTTATTTGGGTACACACAGTGTGACATAAACATTACCATTCTACACATAGCTCTAACAAACTGTAAGTTCATGTCTGGTCATGCAACTATTTATTTAAATAATTAACCCAGTCAAAATGCCAAGTGTCCTCTGCTCAGAAGATATCGTCATGCCCAAGCATCCAGAGTTATGCGCTGCCAAAAGAACCTCCTCCTGTTCATTCATTTGGCATCGGAAATGCCTTCTTTTTCCTCCTGTGTGAAGATCTGCTATAAAGTGGTGAAAGGAAGATCTTATATTATACAATACAGGCTGAAATCCTGTTGATTAGCATATTAAATCACAACTAGTATAGGCTCATTGAATTAAAGAGGATCTGGTGAGTCAACTCTATGTTCCACTGATTCAATGGGCGTATTCTGGTTGCAATTTTCTTTACTAAGAAACAGGATTTCAGCCATTGTCCTTCCATCCGTCAATATGGAAACTGTTTCCTCACTTTGTGCATAGTGATAAATTTGGAGCTAATTAATTATATGAAAGGTTCACTTTGAAAACAGAATGACAAGCACATACCATATTTTTCCATGTACAGTGGCGTCTCGACTTATGGTTGGCTCCACTTACAAACTTTTTGAGATCCGTACTTCTCTGGCCGCAAAGTTTTACTTCGACTTGCGGCCGGAGAATTGACATAGGGACCAGAAGAGGGAGGCGCTTTACCCGCCTTCCCCTTCCAGTCTGTAGGCCGCGGATCGGAGCCCCTTTCCCCGCCTGCCCCTTCCAGTCTGTAGGCCGCGGATCTGCCTCCAGATGCCTTCCAGGGCTTCTCCGTTGCCATGGGAGGCATCTCGGAGGACCCCACCACTACCAATAGTGCCTCTGAAGCACTATCGGCGGGGTGTGTGTGGGAACTCTGAGATATCTCCTATGGCAGCGGAGAAGCCCTGGAAGGCATCCGGAAGTCCCCCACCGCACCTGCTGCCACTGCTGGGAGCCAAGCCCAGGAACCTGAGCATGACTGAGATCGCCCGGGGTGGCGCGGCTCCCAGCAGCGGCGGGGGGAACCTCTGGATGACTTCCATGGCTTCTCCGCCACCCTGGAAGCATCCAGAGGTCACCCACCATCACCGCTGCTGCTGCTGGGAGCCTTCTGAGGTCTCAAAGGGCTTTCCCCCCTGACATTGGAGGAAGCCCTTTGGGAGCTCTGAAGGCAAACAGGCAGGGAGAAAGGGCTGGAAAATTGATTTTCCCACCCTTTCTCCCTGCCTTTTAACCTTCAGAGTTCTCAAAGGGCATCCTCCAATGTTGGGCGGAAAGCTCCGAAGTTAAAAAGGCAGAGAGAAAGGGAGAGAAATTTGAATTTCCAGCCCTTTCTCCCTGCCTGTTTGCCTTTGGAGGTCTCAAAGGGCTTTCCCCGCGATACTGGAGGAAGCCCTTTGAGAGCTCCAAAGTCTCCCAGCAGCAGCAGCAGCAGCAGCGGGGAGGACCTCTGGATGCCTTCCAGGGCTTCTCCGCCTGGAAGGCATCCAGAGGTCCCCCGGCACTGCCGCCACTGCTGGGAGCTGCGCCAGGCGATCCCAGCCATGCTCGGACTCCCAGGAGTCTGAGCATGTCTGGGATCGTGCCGCATGGCGTGGGAACCTCCAGAGGCCTTCCCTGCCGCCATGTGAGGCCTCTCGTAGGTGCCCCCCGGCCGCCGATAGTGCCTCCAAAGCACTATCAGCGGCGGGGGGGACCTCCGAGAGTCCTCCAGCAGGGGCGCTGAAGCCCACACAGTCCTCCGGCAGCAGCGATGGCTGCGGCAGGAGAGCTCCAAGAGGCCTCTGGCAGCCGCGCTGAAGCCCTTGGAGTCCTCCAGCAGCGGCAGGGGACCCCTTGAAGACTTCAAAAAGGTAAGGTTCATTTTT